ACATGCAGATAATCACATAGTTGGTTTGCCACGACCTTTTCAAGGATTTTTGAGATGAAAGGAAGGTTGGATATTGGTCTGTAATTGGCTAAAACACCTTTACAATTTAATTCTGTGGACGTCATTTACATCTCTGCCGACTGTTTCCTCAACGCTAACATCAGCTGCAGAGGAAGATGGAGGAGAGACGGCTGAGGCTGCAGGAGGAGGCCAACAGGTTCTCCACAGATTCACTGCTTTATTCTTCTCTGAGCTTTTACCGTCTCCTTTAACCACCTAAACCACGTCTGTGTGTCTTACATCATGTTCTGCTCACGCTTCGCCGACTGAGACGTTCAACAGAACGTTGCACTCAGCTTATTCAGTCCTTAAAACGCCAGGTTGCTATTATTTCCACTAAGTGTAGATATTTAAGGAATTGTTTCTTCAGCATCTCCTCAAACTGGAACAGAAACGTCCCTCTGTCCATCCATATGATCTGTTGGTGTCTCTGAAGGTAAAGCTCTCAGCAAAGCCCTGGAAAGTGTCGAGTGATGTTTGTAGATTATGTACAGGTGTGAGGTTCACTGTTCACTGGAAAGACACGCTCAGAAATCCCAGAAATTGAACAGGTTCAGGTTCTGTTTTTTTTAAAGCCCTGGATGAAGTTCTGTAAGCTGAGGTATAGATGGGTCGCACATGTGCATCCCCTCTAGTTTGGGGTTGAGACACTTAGAGGTCCTGACTGATCATAGCTGAGAGGCCAATGTGTGTAGAAAATATAACGTGTGGTGCTTTGGTAGTCGCTTGGTCGGTATTTATGAATAAATTGGATTTTCACACCAGGTGCTGGTTTCATGCTGTGGTTCTGCACCAGAACATAAAAAGCATCTGTGGCTTCTGACGGTTACACTGAAGGATGAGACCTGCAGGTTTGGTTCATGAACATCTTCTCTGTGTGGTTGCAGGAGGTTTGCAGCATCTGGGGCGATGACTGCTGAGGAGCAGGAGCAGCGAGTTCTCTACACCAACGTGTTGGAGTACGAGCAGGACCATGTGAGTGTGACAGTCAATGTGTGTCAGATGTCAGGGTCACGCCACAGCTGCTCTACATGAACAACCAGCGTCAGGTTCTATGTGTCTGTCATGGTCCACACGCCAGCATGTAGAAGCTCTTCATCATAAAATTATTAATTTACTGTTTTACAAAAAACAGAAAAAGCATTAAAGCACATTATTATTATTGTTATTATTATGTCTTGTTATTCAGACGTCAGATTCTAGGTGTTACTTGCATCCTGAACAGAACCATGAGTTTTAGTGGTTGAATGTTCTGCTGGATCCATGTCTGGCTCCTCAGAGAAGCCCAGCGGCTCAGATCTGGGTAGAAGGAGATGAATTCAGTCTAAATCCTCGTTCCTGTTCAAAACGTGGAGAGCTTAACCAGTTAGATGGGTGGTCTAATTAACCAGTTCAGCTCTGTGTGTTCATAACACAGACGTGCTGCTGGTAGCAGGCTGAGGAGAGTCTGGAGAGGTGGAGGAGAAGATGGTCAGGAGGGAAAGAGAAGGTCTACAAGGTGGTGGAGACTGAAATGAAGGAGGCTGAGGATTTCTCCTGCCCCACTCTCACCACAGCTGGAGAAGAAGTCTAGTCAATGTGTGTTGGGTCCAGGTTATGTAGTGATATGTAGAGTTTACAGATCCGGTCTGGGACCTCCTGGACCTCTCCAAGACTCAGCGGGGTGCTGATTATATCAGACATGGTTAAGATCTGAATAGTTACGGTTGCATGCTAAACATCCTAGCCCTGAGGCTGGCGTTAACGTAACACCAGACAGTCCGTTGTTATTCCCACAGCAGGACGTTTGCCGTGTTGCAGCAGCAGAGGAGAAGGTGATGAAACCAAGAACAACACATAATAACACACAACACAGCAGCATGCAGCAGCTGCACAGCTAGCACAGAACCATGCTGATGTTTAGCCACTGATGCTGGTTCTGGCTGAAGAACAAACATGGACCACATCTTGTCAGGCAGACTGGATCAGCTTTGTGTTGTTGATCCAGATCCAGTCCATGAGCTTCTGCTCCCTCCAACACCGTCATCCCGAATCTGTCCTGTCATGTGTGATGCTTCGGTGTTCTGAAACCTTGTGTTGGTGCATGTCTGAGACCAGACGTCTGGTTTCTAAGTCTGCTGGGGTTTAAAACCGCTGCAGTCTGAGCCCGGTATCAGAAACACTGAGAGTCTATCAGAGGGACGGATTAGGAGGGATTGTGGGTAAAGGGGATAAAATAGAGTAAAGGGAGGAGGGATGGAGCTGATCTGGATGTTTGGTTTGTCGAGAGAATATACAAGAAGAAAGAGCCAAAGAGGAGTTTAATGGCTGTGGAGAGAGAACGTCCTGGTGGTGCCTTCCAGAGGAGGAGAATGACGCCAGCCTTAAGTCAGCAGAGCTTAGTGTTGATGCTCCACTCAGAGGCCTCATGCAGCAGCTTGTACAGCAGCAAATACATACACAGTGATGCTGCCAGGACACATAATTAGTGAGACACTCCAAACAGCTCCACTGTAGTCACAGCGGGAGGCTTCTACAGGCTCCACATGCTGGGAAGCTCTCCCTCATGTCAGGGTTAACAGACTCAGAGCTTCCACTAAACCTGCTTTGTGAAGCGGACCCCTGCTCTGCTGCTGCTGTCGGCAGCTTCTGTTGGACCACAGCGGTAGAACTGTGGCGGGAAAACGAGTCGACTCATCTACACTGATGTATGTCGTCTGTACATGTTTGTTGTGTCTGTGTTCAGGATTGGCCCAAACAGTGGAAAGCCAGCATGAAGAAGAATCCTGACGTCACCTTAGCGTCAGAGTTGGTCTCCTACCTGCTCAGGTAACCGACCGGGGTTGAGATGAGCCTTAGTTCACCTGGATCAGTGTGGTCCTCATCGTCTCCAGTTGAGTCCACGTCCAGACAAAGTTCAGACTGCTGTTTATTAGAAGCACACAGATGTTTATTTTTAAGGTTCATCACTGATGTGGCTCCTTGTTAACTCTGAAGGACGTAGAAAAAGTCAAACGCACATAGAACCATCCTGAGCTACCACCACCTGGGGTGAGCTTGTGAACCTGCAGGATGCTGTTGTAGCAGGATGAGGATGGACTAAGTGTGTCTCCTGTGTCCTCAGCCGGTCCGACCACCCGCTGGTGAGGCTGCTGAGGAAGCTCCAGTACAGGATCTACAACCGGCTCTACCCCCTGGTCAGCAAAGGCCTCCCTCACAGTCCCAACCTGCCGCTGAGACCTTCCCGCAGCATCCACAACCTGCTTCGTCCAGGTAAGGGGTTCAGCCACCTTCATGTTCAGCTGCTTTTGTCCTCGATTGAGTGAAAGCCACACAGTAGATATAGAAGGACTGAAATATCAGAGTGGCCTGTTTTTATTCACATCACAAGTGAATAAAAGACTTTAGTAGCATACCACAATGTTTTTATTCTCTAGTGTCAGTAGTGTACTGTGGCCTGCTTTCATTCATTGCACACACGGCGAGCATACAGCACCGTCAGCAAAGTCCTGTGAGGTTTAGAATCTGATTCATAGAAAAACACATGAAGCACAATTCTGTTTCTATTCAGGTGAATGCATCAGGCTGCAGGTGTCAGTTAGAGAAGTCAGCATCAGTTGAGTCCTCTGTTGTTTCACTGCTATGTTAAATGCTGCTTCGCTGTAGCCAGCAGCACCGGCTGGACCTGAAGAGGACTCAGAGGTCTGAGGTCCAGCAACACCGCTAGAACGTGTTTAGCTTGTTTTTCTGGATCTACTCAGTGACAGCTTCATTTTTAATGACATGTGTAGAATAAAGTGATGGTAATGAAGTGTCACAACTTTTAAACTTAGATCTAGTTTATTTGTCTGATGGAGCTTCACCTTTCTGTCAGTAGTTTATGAAAACTCCATTTTCAGTTTTGTTTTTTTTTGACGTTGTCATTTTGACTTTAAAAAAAAAAAAGACGAAGAAGCAGCAACAACAGTTAAACGCCTTTTACATCCAGAGCAGGGTTTTGTAAAGCTTCTGCAAAGCTACCAGACTCCTTTTACTCAAACAGTCACTTCACCCAGTAGGACACAGTCAGGTCATGTGTTTGTGTGGTTTCAGTGTATTGATCCAAACTAGCAGTGTGATGTTTATTTAAACCGAGTAGTTGGATGTCAGCGCTGATAGCTCCACCTGTGATGGAGCCTGTGTTGATGTGGAGCTGCTGTGGTCACACAGAGACTCAGAGGAAGCCCGTCAGCAGCCTCAGCACCGACTCCTCGCTCTCGCCGTCACGCTCCCATGAGCTCAGCACCAACTGTGACGACGAGGACGCAGAGGAGCCTCCGACTCAGCCCACGGTGGACCGGGAGAACTCCTTCGAAGACCTGGAGCAGTTCCTGACCCATTTGGACTGGACGCCGCCCCACACTGACGATACCGGCTTCGATCCAGACCTGACCGGTGACCCGTCGGCGCGGGACGAGGGCCACATCCAGGAGCTGGAGACGAGAGCGCTGAAGGAGCACCTGAAGGCCATCGTCAAGGACGTCCACATCGCAGTAGGTGAGCTGGAGCGATGAGTTGCTGAGCCCACCTTCAGCAGCTACCTTCACATCAACAGAAGGTACCGCTGACGGCTTCACAGCAGCGATGAAAGCTACATATAAAGCAGAATATCTAACTTTATTGTCAATGAATCCAAACTAAACGATAATGAGAACATGAGGCCTTTTAAACAACAGTGTCTCCTACTTGTGCTGCTGCTAGAACAACAATTTCCCTGAGGTACCCTACTGAAGGGATCAATGAAGTTCTGTAAAGTTCTATCTACACCGGAGACAGCTTCCTTCATTCTCTGCTCTCTAGCTACGAATTAGCTGCTGCCGAGCTGCTAGCTGGTGTTCAGACGGCACTGAGGACTAATATATATATATATATATATGTATATGTGGTTTCACTTCAGTGAAAGATGATTGTTTTATTTAGAAATGAAGCTTGTGTGGATGCTGCCTACTGCACTGTTATCTGTAAAGGGCTTCTGAGAATCTATGGTTCATCAAACAGCAGCGATACTGAGAGATGTAGCCTTGTAGCATCTGTCCTATACAGCACAAACAGCACTGTAGTATCACCTATTATGTGTACATGTTTATTTAATCAGAACTATTTGGTCACAGATGGAATGAAAGTTTAATGGAGACATGTCTTGATTACCACCACAGACACATTAAAGGGTCACTGATGATGACTAGGAAACCTAAACTGGCTAAAGCAGATCAAACCACCCCTGCTTGGCATTCAGTGTAGACGTTGTTCTGTTCCTCCTCCTCCAGACCAGCTGCTGTCGCTGTGTTTGCTGTCCTTCGAGTGCCTGAACACGGCCAGCTATAAGGACCTGTGCCTGGCCAGCATCGAGGAGGCCTTCTTCACGCCGCTGTGGAGCGCCCTCGTGGCTCTTTTCAGGTAGTGAACCCTCAATCCTGGAACACACAGCGCAGACCAGACCTGTGTTTAGTTCATAAACTGTCAGGCTGCTGAGGAATGTAGTGAGACTGGTAGCACACATGTGCTGCCCAACCAGGCTGATGGTCAGAAACAAGCACCACCTGACGGCTGATGGTGAAATGAAACGGATCAGATCAAAGTCAGATAGTGGTGGTGTTTCTCTGTGATCCAGTGTGGGTCTCCATCCACCACCATGTGGCAGCGCTGCTCCTCTCAGCTGCAGTCTGAGCTTTCACTCTCGTGGACTAACACACCTCTGCTGTGCTAAACGTGTTGTTCTTCATTGTCCTCATGTTTCTACACTAGAACACCTCTGCACTTAGCAGCAGGGTCAGGCTGTCGTTGCTGCTGGCCTTGTTCACACTGTAGTGATCTGACACCCAAAGCGGACTTCTGTAACGTATCTGGTGCTGAATCATCAGCTCCTCTGTTCAGTTTCAGTTCATGTGTGAAAACATTGTTTAAGGAAAAATCAGCCTCACATGTTGTTGAATGTCAACATGAAGCAGCAGCACCTGGAACCTGTGAAGTCCAGGTTCTGGTTCCTACCAATGATCCACGTCAGCAACATCTAAAACCAGAACCTTGTCTGGTCCAGCTTCACCACATCAGGTTCTGCTGATGTTAGAGCCTCAACAGGTGGTGAAATGTGACCAGAGACTGGATTCTAGTAGAACCATGGATCCATCCATAGATAGACTCTGACAGGAACTTTGTGGATCAGCACCAGCTTGGTTGGAGGTTGTGCATGTTTTGGGATATTAATAAAAAAGCAACAGTTCTGTTCTGGATCCGCTCCGTCCTGTGGAGCTGCTGTGGGAGTTTTATTTGTGGAGATCTTGAGCCTTTAAAATGGCTTCCCAGGCACACAAAACATCTCAGGTTTGAAAACAAATGAAATACTCAAAATGTAGCCCAAAGATTTGACAGAACCTAATTTTGGGTCCAATTCAGCAACTGAGATTCTGTGAACAGAGTCTGAGATGGTTGAGCAACACGTTCCCTGAATTCTGTCTGAACTGGACCGACTCAGCATTTAGAGCGTGAAATGATTTACCTGTTCAGGTGGTCGGTGAAGTCATGACAGGGACAAAGTACAAAGACCGACAAGTTCTGTTCAGTTCAGTTCGGTACCAACAAACAGGCTGTGTGACCTCAGATGAGCTGTGTGGGGAAAAGGGCTGCTTTAATGAAAGTTACACAGATTTACTGTAGTAGTAGTG